ATGAACTTTCATAAGCTAGCTGTTTGTGTACCAGGCACTGCCTATATTCATTCTTCATCAGATTCTTGTCGTACAACATATCCGCGTAGCTCGCAAACTGTATCATTCCATGATCTCTCTAGGCAACTAACATGTCCACCTGCATCTCCCAAGAGTCCTTACTTGCATGATCAAACTTAGACTAGACTTTACAACTCTTCATCTGGTTCTACTCTTGCCTTCCACAATACATTTTTTACATAATGATCAAAATCAACTTTTTGAAATACATATCTGATCATATCCTATTCATGTGTAAAATATTGAATGATTTCTCATGCATCTTAAGATCAAGTTCAGAATCTGAACTTGGACTCACCAGGCTGCCCCTTGTGTAAACTGCTGCCTCCCCTTCGTTGCCGGGAGCATGCCTACTCATTCTTCAGGTTCCAGTTTGCATGTCCTTTACTTAGAAAGATATTTTCTGATCGTTTGTCCAGATCCTGTACCTGACTATAAGCTTTCTCAACTCCAAGATTTCCTCTTCAGAGCACTGGCCACATTGCTTAGATATCCAGGTGTGATTTGTTTAGTGTGTCTCTCCACTACCTGGCAATCAAATCCAGAAGCACGTTGACCACACCTAGATGTGTGCACTGAATGGTTGCAGAATGAGCCTCTGTGCCATACATTTTTCTCTTTTGTTTTATAGAGGATGTTGTTCTTCAATTTGAAGGACAATTTATTGAGTTTTTACTGTGTGACAGGCAGTGTTTGTTTAGAGCGCAGGGCAAATTAGCTTCACTGTTAAAAATTAGGGCTCCAAGCCAGAATACAGTGGGTTTGAAATTTTACTAAATTGTATGATATTGGGAAAGTATTATAGCTTCTCCATGCTCAGGTTCCTCATCTATAAAGAAGGGGAGGTAAAGGACAATAATCACAGCTGCTTCGTAGGGCCGTTGTGATGATTAAAGAAGGTATGACATGTAGAGTGTTTAGTACAGTGCCTGGCCCATGGTAAGTATGTGAAATGTTAGCTATTCTTCTTACTCTTTACTCCTAATACTGTATAGGTGTTATGTTATCCCCATTTGCCAAATGAGGAAATTAGATGCAGAAAACAGACTTTCTTCAACAACTTGTCTAAGTAAATTCTTCATATCATCTTTTCATGCTAAAAAAAAAAAAGCTACATAGGAAGAAAGAAATGAATGTTCTCACGTTTTGAGGGTTGGGACTTGGAAAATATTGGGGTTTGGCAAAGTGAAGAGAATAAATCAAAGAAACAAAGGAAATGTCAAAGCAGTTTCAGGCCTGAGACTTGGCCATCTTTTCTGCACATTAATGTAATGAAACTTAGCCTGTCCGTGAGAAGCCTAGAGGAGGGGGAGAAACCCCTCCCCCCAGAATTGGGAGGGAGCTGGAGAGTCGGTGGAGGGTGACTCGAAGCAGCATCTCCAGGTTGCAGCTGGAGGTGAGAGCAGTAGCTCCCAACTCCTTCCAAAGCTCCACAGGAACTCTGCCGACATCGCCATGTCCTCAAACCAAAGCCATTTGAATTAAAAAGAAAAAAATCCATGTATGCCACGCATCAATGTGAGAGGAAATATGTGCCAAAGGAAATCAAACAAAAGGTTTGAACCACTGGAGTGGGCATCTTCCTGGAGAGAGGTGAGCCCTGCATCAGACTTAAAAAAGACATCTGGCAGGAACAAGAATATTCCTGGCAGCCCATTAGAAACAGCCTTGAACTAGAAACAACCCAAATGCCCATCTTCAGTAGAGCAGATGCATAAACTGTGATATTGCCACAAAATGCAGTATTCTCCAGCCACAGGAGTGAATGCACTCCCACTATACTCAACAAGAGGGGTGACTCTCACAAATATAACACTGAGGCAGAGACCCGGAACACAAAGTACAGTCCGATGTCATTTGTATGTGAATTTAATACTAGGCAATCCACATCTAGGTCAGGTGTAGGAGTTAGGACTCCTGTGACCCCGAGGGGAGGTAGTGGCTAGAGGGCTGCAGGGGATATTCTGTTCTGTTTCTGTTACACAGACATGGCCATTTTGTGACAGGTCACTGACATGTACACTGTTCAGAACAGATGTTATATTTCAATCCACCCTCGCTCCACCACCTGCCATGGTCAGGGTCAACCTAGTCCTAGCTAGACAGGTAGGGTTCTGGTTAGTCAGAAGCTGGACCAGTACCAATTAGGATGCTTCGGAAGCGAGGAGCCATGTTGAGTAGAGCTTGTGTTTCTGTGGTTCTGAGTCCGGCCATTGCTTTGGTCACACCAAATTTTACAGCTGGGTGTTTCTCCTGTCCCCGATCCAGACCCATGGTCTTGCAGCTCCCTTTCTCCACTCAAATGATCTCTATACCCACCGCAATGTGTGGCTTCCCTGCTGGGTCAGAGGGGCAGCTGTATTCTGTTTCTACCCATGGTGTCCTCCGTTGTCTGCACCCATGCCCATGAGGAAGCTGCAGAGGAAGCGCCCAGCTGGAGTAGCCTGATGGAAACCTCTCCTGTGAAACCCAGGGAGGAGTTTTAGGTTCTGGACCCCCAGTGGGTGAGCTGACAAGTATGAGGGGCTGACTGTTCATGTGATGGCAGAACAGGAAGGAGGGAGAAACCGGTTGACAGGCTGTATGAAGGGAACAGCTTGGCACAGGCAGGGCCGAGGCTCCCTTTGGAAAAACTGTGGCTGAATGTCTGAGACCCGAGCTGCTTCCCAGCGGTATTTTGAAAACATGAGACGTCGCCTTCCAGTGTGTGCAGAGGTGATGTCCCCAGGCCCCAACCGGACGCTACTCCGTGACATCGAAGCTGCGCAGCCCAGATGGCACAGGCCCCGTGCAGGCTCCTTTGGGTCGTCAGCTGGCTGGGAGAAAACAACGCGCCTCAGCTTGACAGCCCCCACATTCTACAGATGTAAAAGGGAATCCTCTGGACTCTGTCTGGGCTCCTGGGGCTCAGCCTGGCCAGCCCTGGGGCTGCAGGAAGAATAAGAACATGGAAGGGGCTGCATGCTGCTGTCACCGATTCTTCAGGTGACCAGGGACTTTTCTGTCCTGCAAGGATTTTGTAGCCCGATCATCTTTGTTCCTCACATCCCCTCGTTGTCGCTGCCAGTGCTGCCACAGCACCCAGAGCAGCCTCTCCCTGCTTCTCCCTCCCTCTCCCTTACTCCACCTACTTCCACATTTTATGCTACATTTCAGCCTTTACCTGAATTTGCTTCTCTAACCTCACAATTACTCCATGGGTTGTCCCAGTATTGCTACTCTTTTAAAAAGGCTCCCTTGCTGTGCCTTCCCCAGTTCACTCCATTCTCTCATGCTTCTCTTGCTTTCTTGGGTTTTCATTTTCATTTTCCTTCCATGTCTACAGAGGCAGGATATAGAGAAAGGCCAGCAGAGGGCAAAGAGCGCTGAGCTGCACCCGGAGACAGAGGAGCATTTTGGTTTTTGTCCCTGTTGTGTGACCTTGGGCAAACCCTACAAACTCTTCTCAGAGCGTCAGCTTTCTCATCGGCAGATGGGGTTGGGTCAGCCACGTCAGAAACCCATGTGTTGTGCCAGTATAGGTGCCATGGGGAATGCAAAGAATAAGACTCTGTCCTGGCTCTTACTAACCTACTGAATCACAATATCTTTCTGTTCTCTCTGATACATAGACTAAATCAGCGCATAGATAGATAGATAGATAGATAGATAGATAGATAGATAGATGAATATAATTAATAGGGGGAGTAAACTGTTGTGATAAAAGAATAATCTTATAAGACCATGGGACCCAATAAAATCCCACAGAGAGACTGAATCAGAGTCCCTCTCTCCCTGCTATTACTTTAATTGCATTTTGTGATCAGGTGTAACTCTCCACTCCCTTTTTTCACAACTGAGTGAAATAGGGAACTACCTTAAAGCTGGTTTTTCTTTTGCTGCCACAGAGGTGCACATAACTGCTGGTTCCTGTTGGCGGTGAAAATGGTCTTGAGCAAATGAATGAAGCGCACAAGATACACAGCACAAGTCAGAGAATTTTAAGCCAAGCTCATTCCTACTCGCCTAACCCTGGTGGGAGCTCATGCCTGCCCCCTGAACTCCCAAGTGCCCCTAACTTGGTAAAGGATGTTCCCTCCATTTTCTCTCTCCTCCTGTCCGGCCTCCCCATCCCTGAGGCTGGCGGGGCTAAGGCCTATGCTGCTTCAGGGTATGTTGTGAATCCAAGAAGCATTAAGAATGTCAAGGCTAGGACAACATAAACAACACTTCTGAGAAAACTATGTCCAGCACCCGTGTGGTAAGTTGCTTTTTAAATGCTTTTTTTTTTTTTTTTTTTTTTTTTAACTATCAGCAGAGATGGAAGCCTGGCTTGTCCAGGGCATGAAGCTCAGTGAGGTGCAGACTGTGCTCTTCGGTCCCGGGGGGGGAATGCTGCGGGTCCGAGTCAGCTGTGGTTTGCAGCAGCGCTGGTGTTTGCAAGGGCCTGGGAAGGGCCGGCCGTCCAGTTGACGGGCCGCCCGGCTCTTCCAGGCTGCAGGTCTGCCTCAGTTAGCACAGAAGACACAGCTTTCCTTTGCTCCAAGTCGCCAGGGGATGATTTGTTCCTCTTTGGCCGTGTCAGTTCTGCAAACCAGATATCAGACCGGCAAGCTCAGGAGAGCCTCCTTCTGGAACCCCCTTTGTTTGGACAGGCCAGGCCTGTGAGGCTTTTCATCTCTTTCAACCTCCCAGGGCCCAGAGCATTTTTGAGGAATTCCTTTTTTCAAAGGTTTTTTTTTTTCTTCTTTTTTTGCCCCTTCCAACATTTTGTTTAAGAGAAAATGAGATGTCTATCTTCTGTTTCCTTATTTTTTTTCAGGAAAGCAAAGGGTTGTTGACTTCCTCCCTCTCCCCTCCCTTCCTTCCTTCTTCCCGAAGGTACTCATCTGAGAAAAAGAGAACGAAGTATTGTTCCTGTTCTCTTTCTTAAGTCATTCGAAACACTGTCCCTGCGAGTTCTTTAAGTTCCCTGCACTCTGCACACGAGAAAAGGAGGGAGTGAGAGGGAGAGGCACAGAGAGAGCAGGGGACCAGGTAAAGCCCGGGGGCTGCTGCAGCCACTCAGACTCAGGAGCCGGTAAGTTACCCATGCAACCGTTTCTGCTTCCATTTCAGTGTCCCTGGGATGGCACTGCCATGGGCGTCTCCCCAGAAAATACCTTACTGGGTGTGATCCGTAATCAAGGGGACGACTGATGGGTGGCCCAGGATTTAAACTTATATATGTATATATTTTTTTTAAAAAAAGAGAAAACTGATGCATTGCAGAGAGGAGGCTGGCAGAACTGGAAAGAGAAGTGCACTGGGGCTCAGCAGGACAGTGTGTTAAATCTGAATTTGGGTGTAGGTAACGTGGCTGGATTAAACAGGAGCCACTGGAACGTGCGAGGTGGCTCATTGGAGAATTCAGCTCCTCCTCAGTGCTCTGCGTCGGGAACATCACCATGCTGTCTGCTAAGAATTGTGGTTTGCTCTGGGGCTTCTGTGACCCGTTGTCTAGGTTGAGGTGCCCTCCTCTTGTTCTTTTCTTTCCACTCAGCACCCTCCAGAAGAGAAATGCTAATTTATGACTGTTATTCTGCATCACCGAGGTAGGAGGGAAAAAAGAAGGGGATGCCACTTGAATTGCACAGTGTGTGGGCGATGCTTTTGTATTCGGGCTCCACATGCGGGATGGGTGTAAATTGATTATCCACTGTCAGTGGAAGATGTCATCTGCCACACAAAAGGAGACAAAGATGTGGGGGCATATGGCTGTAGTTTTGGAAAACACCAGGTAACTGGGATGGGAGGACTGAGATTGATCGCTTGTGTCAGTAGCAGTGAAGAACTAAGCTATAGATGTAACTGAGACATATTCACCCAGAGCCTGGTTTTCCAAACTCCAAATAGGACAACATAGCAAGCCAGTCAAGCTTAAAAACATATACCTTGTTTTTTAAAGTCTAGATTGTTTTAATTAAGTTTGTCAGAGAGGATAATGTTACCAAGAACTCATCATGGTAAAAGCCAGGAGGGAAGCAAGATCACATTGTCAAAAATAGGCCAGCAAGGTCCCTCGGAAAGACTGTATAAATTTACTAATATTAATCATTTAATTCAGAGTTGTTGAATGGTTGAAAGACAAAAACCATGCAGAGTATATATATATATATATATATATATATATATATATATATATACTCATTTCCATGAAATTTACTGGTTGAAGTCACCTGGGATGTGAAGAGTGTAATAAAAATAGCCAGTCTCTCATTTATAAATTAATTTGGCCAGACTATACATTAACCACAATCAAGTAATTAATCTTTATTTTAAACTTTACTCAAGCCCTAACCGCTTTGGCTCAGTGGATAGAACATGGGCCTGCGGACTCAAGGGTCCCGGGTTCGATTCTGGTCAAGGGCATGTACCTTGGTTGCAGGCACATCCCCAGGGGGGAGTGTGCAGGAGGCAGCTGATCGATGTTTCTCTCTCATCGATGTTTCTAACTATCCCTCTCCCCTCCTCTCTGTAAAAAATCAATAAAATATATTTTTTTTAAAAAACTTTACTCAAAATCTTTATTCAAGAGCCATCCTCTTAATAAGAGTGAGAAAATATGATAGAACTGGATTGTTATGTGGGTCTTGTTCCACAAGCAGCCTTTTTTCTTCTTCTCCTTTCTTCAAGAGACTTTCCTTAGGAGCACTATAAAATGAGCAACGTCAAAGAGACGTGATGAGTGAGTGCCGGTTTGAGGACGCAGAATCATTCTCATCACAGTTGGAAGTGGTTTCCAGCTCCCCTACCACCTGCCCTAGGCTCCCATCTCATAGATCTGCTGGTCAGAACGTAGCAGGAACCGATTGGATTGGGCACTTTGCATCTTTTATCAGCAATTGTGACCCCAGTGGAAAACTCAGGGCTGCGATCTTGACTTGCTTCTTTCAGTTTCGCTTTTCCTTGATAATGTATTTAATTTTGTGCCCAATTAAAACCACATCACAGAATGCTCTCCAGTTTGGGTTACTGGATAGACACATAAAATGCAGCACACTATTTTTAAAAGGTGACAGCAGAGTTGCATTGACTAAAGACGAGGAAGGCAAAAGGTGATGTGCCACTGGCACCCACAACAGCCCCCCTTTAGATGGGTCTCCTCTGCGGCCTGAGGTTATGGAGCTCAGGAGATCTTCTTTTCTCTTAAAGAAAAAAATATTCAATATTTCCGTTTTGTTAAGTCATTTGCCATGAGAATATTTGATGGGGCAAACAAATGCAGCTACTGACAGAGAAAAAGCCACTGACTAGTTTAGTCTGGTTAGTGCCAATCTGTGTTCACTCCATTCCAAGGAGTGAGCTGGCCTTTGTGGAAACTTCCAGTGTGTGATTCTTCTCTGGGGTCATCAGAGGCTCTTTTGTGATATCATCAGGGGAACTCCAGCCTGGAATGGTCCAGAATTTGACACACAGAACATGTTATTAATTAATTGGCGCCAAAACTGTACACATACTCTAATTAAATTACAAATATGTCGCATAAATGTGATGTTAGGCTGTGTCCTGTAGGTCTGTGTGCTGGGATGTGGCTCAGAGCAACTAAGGTATGGGCTTTGTTGTTACACAAATTGGGGTGTGAATTCCAGTTTTGTGACTTACTGACTGTGGGCCTTATTCCAGGTGATTACTAACCCCTTTAAGCCTCAGTTTTCCCAAATGTAAAATTGCATCAACATAATAGACTTGTTGTGAAGATTAAGTAAGATTATTTGTGCAACGCATTTAACAATGTGTGGCAAGTAGTGGGAGTCAATGTCAGTTGTAACTTTTTAAGAGTCGTGTTATTACTTAAGGGCACTGTATTTTTTTAATGTAGGAATAGAATACACCTATTGTAATTTGTGTCATACTTCTTGATCAATACTATGCCAAGGGTCTACCAGAACAAAAATTATTCCTCATAGGTTTCAAGTTGGGCACACATTGAGTGAAGATTATTATCCTGAACCCCAAATTCTTGTAAAATAAAGGAAGGTAAAGGCAAATGTTTTGATGTTTCCTTTGGTAATGGCGGAAATGCCAGATTTAGCCTCATTAAAATGCCATCTGTGTTCAGCAGAGCTCTGTGCAGGGGAAAGTTTGTCTTGGAATAAAAGTTTTCAATTCAGATGAATGTTGGAAGAGACTGCAGTCATGTTGTAGACCTTTCATTCTCCCTTTCACCCACTTCCCAAGCTCTCAAGCTCTGTGCCATTGGTGACCTGGCCGGGGAGGGTTGCAAACACTTTTGTTGGAGACCATCGTGGCAGTTCCATGACAACCAGAGAGAAAAGGACTTGAAGTAACATGTTGCCCCACCCACCAAGGGTTCAGCGCCCTCAGAGATCCTGCCTCAAACATTTTAGCATTGAGCCACTTACCTTCACACCCATAAACAGAACACAGGTGTCACCATTGTGTGTGTGTGTGTTTGGGGGGTTATCCAGCTGCTATTTTTCTCTCACTCTAAACTTTAAAACAAACATGCTGGTTAGTTTGTCAAGTAATAATGGTTCTTTAACTTAGATCTTAGTTCAACTTCCCTCTCCACTTTCCAAAAGCAAAACATACAACTGCAATACCCACCCAAATCGACCACCAATAACCCAAACCCATGAGGTTCTTGAGTTCGAATTAGAGGCTCTGATACAATAGAGATTTGTGTGGACAACTTAACCTTCAGAGAGCAAATGGAAGCTGGGTTGTTCTAGCACAGCAGTTCTCAACCTGTGGGTCACGACCCCTTTGGGGGTCGAACGACCCTTTCACAGGGTCACCTAAGACCATCAGAAAACACATATAGCATATCAGATATTTACATTACCATATATAACAGTAGCAAAATTACAGTTATGAAGTAGCAATGAAAATAATTTTGGTTGGGGGCCACCACAACATGAGGAACTGTATTAAAGGGTCACGGCATTAGGAAGGTTGAGAGCCACTGTTCTAGCAGAAGGTGTCTTCCACCGCAGCTCAGTGCAGGAGACAAAGGCCAGACGGAGTCAGACGTTTCAGTTCTGTTCTGCCACCTCATGTGTGGGAGACTTGACAGGTTTCTTAACTTGCTTGGACTTCAGTTTTCTCACCTATGAAATGATGGGATTGGACCAAACCAGTGATTCCTAAGGTGGTATGTGTGTGTGTGTGTGTGTGTGTGTGTGTGTGAATGTACCAGAGCTCACCTTCGGGCTTGTTTACACCCTTCTCTCCTGCCCCCTGCACTAGAAGATTTATGAGATTCTGACGCTGACATCCTGCGATTCTCTCAAACGGATGGTCAGTGTCTTGTTGTCGTCTTCAGTGTTGCACTGACAATAAATAAAAGCATATGTTTTAAGACCCATGCTTTTAAGTGGAATTACTATTCTGTTTTGGATGTTCTCTCTAGAAATTAGTTTTAAATATATCAATAGTTATTCTAGAAATCGTATAAAGTAAGGAATGTGCTAGTCAGTCAAGCAATCTGATGAGACTGATCAATGCTCTTTAGCCAGACATATATAAATTGTAAAAAAGCAAGTACTGAGATCTATAAATATTGTGCTTCTGTATGCATGGCTTTTTTTGATTTATACATTTCTGTATTATTTATATCTTATAGTGAGGTTGCCTTCTTTCGGTGATCAAGGATAACACAGATACTACATTTTCCTATTCACTATTTGAAAAATATTGGTAGAGTCAATCTCATAAGTTTCTTTTGGTTTTACTTTGTCTCTACTTTGGAAGGGCAAATTGATTATAGTGTTTACTAAAACAACACTCAGAAATCATGTTGAGTCTGTTTTAATTATAAGAAAAATCTGTAACTTATAGAAAAAAAGTTGTTTTGATTTTCCTGATTTTATTTCTGCCTAAATCACTTGATATTTTTCCTCCTATGTTTATATGGCCAATAAAGTAAACCACCAACAGACACAGGTCTCCAGCTGACAGGAACAGAGAGGCAACACATATTTTGATGTACACTTTCAGAAACAGCTAGCCAAATGCCAGCTACATCTAGACGAAAGAACGACCTCTAGAGAAAAGAATAAGAACACATTTTCATCC